TCCCTTTCTCCCTCCCCTTCCCCTACAGGGAAGAAAAAGACCGTGCATCAGGGTACAGGAAGCGAGGCCCCAAGCCAAAGCGCCTCTTACTGCAGGTAACTTTTCACTCTTCTTAGGTGTATTCTCTTTTATCCTCAGCTTTTCTGTTATGGTATCCATCAATCTTCCAGTGTGGAGTTCTAATCCACTAGCTGGTTAAGGTGAGCCCTGGATTTCCCCCTTGCATTCATTTAAATCAGCTAACACATGTTACAACACCAGGGAAAAACTTCTTCACTGTCAGAACAGTGAGGCAATGGAATAGATGGCCTAGGGAAATTGTGGACTCTACATCATGGGAAGTGTCCAAGGAGAGATTGGACAGCCACTGGTCAGGGATGATCTAGGTGTACCTATGCCTAGCATCTCCTCCCCTACTCCAGTCCTCCCCCCAGCTACATGTTGGCGGTGGGGCAGTTGTTTTTTCTTGGTTTGGTGTTTTTTTTGGTATAAGCCTTCCTCAGAAGCATTGTCTGCAGCCAAGGCTGGGCATTGTGACTGGGGTGTGCCAATGCTCCTACTGGGACTTAAAGCCAGAGGTTTCTGGCTAAAGGGTCTTGCCTCTCTGCTCAGGGAATTTTATCCCACGGTCATATTGGTATGGACTGTAGGGTTTTTTGCCTTCCTCTATAGCTGGGGGTGTGGCTCTCTTCCTGGGATCTCTTGATCATAACAGATCATTAACAACCTTTCCAAGAGTGGGACGCTGACCTCTGTGGTCTCCGTGCTTTACCTGTGGCGAGTTAAGAGTGTTATATCTTGCGTAGTGTCAGGGTTCGCTGTGTAATTTTGATAAGGTGTTAGATGATGGATTTATATAGGTTGGTTTGGATAGGGCTGATCCTGTCTTGAGCAGGGGCTTGAAGTAGGTGACCTCTGGAGTTCCCTTCCAGCCTTAGTTCTCTAGGGTTCTAAGATTTCACCACTTTCCTTGTGGACACAAGAATTTAAAATGCATAGCATGACAGTAGAATGGCCTGGAATCCCTGGATTAGATATCTGTCCTGAAAGAGACACTCCTTGTTTGTGTGCTCTCTAAATTTAAGTTGAGTTATGGCGCTGTAGTGTGCCAAAGTCATTAGCCAAATGGAGGTAGAGTTCCACAGTAGCACACCAGTGACCCTGATTCTTTGCCAGTGCTGTATTAATGAGGTAATCAAATGAGATAGGAAAGATTCTGGGAGTAATCAGCTTTTCCCTTTCACACCTGTCCCCTGGTATTCTGCCCAAGGGCATTCTTTCAACTTTAAGTAGAGCAGACAGTGGGGTTTCCATCTACTCTTGTTACTATGGTAGGACTAATGGGTTCCAGTGAAAATCATGATTTTGCTGCTGTCCTTACCTCAGCACTTACAGGACAGGCAGTGAGTGTGAGGAGAGATGGGGCAGAGAGGTGACAGGGGTCACTCAAGATCACACTGGTCTTGGCATAGGTAAGACAAGAACATGGGTCCTCTGACACCTTGATCGTTGTTATGTCAACTGACCTTTCCTCTGTCAGGTGACTGTTCTGTGCTGCACTTGGTCTCACTGTTGGGCTTTGACTTAACACAGTTGTCTTGAGCCCTACCTGGGCTCAGTTTCTTCCCAGCATGCTTTTGCCCTTGATTGTTGTCCTGCCCCTGGTAGGGCCCCAAAACCCCCATTGCTTTTGTGCTGTTGTCTGGGATGTCCAATGCTCTTGCTGCACTCTTGCCCACAGAGGCTGTATGGCATGGACCTAAGAAGCACCCACAAGGGAAAGGAGAAGCTCTGCTTCTCTCTTTCAAGGAGATTCGGCAGTGGTGGCAGCGGAGGAGACAGCAGCTTGCCAGGGGCCAAATCAGGGCAGACAGAGCTATCGGAGAAGAGTGGGGGAGGGGTCTTGCCATTCCCACTCCGGAAGCAGCGCAAGAACCAAAAGTATTTGCGGTTGTCACGGAAGAAATTTCCACGTGTGTCAAGCCTGGAGAGCCGTAACCGCAGGCGTGAGTTCTTCCTGAAGGACCCGGTGGCGCTTGATGCTCAGCAGACTCCCAGTGACTGGGATGGTACGCAGCCCGCCAGCCAAGAAGGTAAGGCCCAAAGCCCCATTGGACTGTGAATTCAGGGGCATGAGCATGACCCTCTTGTCTTCCTCCTGATCCACATTGATCAAGATTGCAAGTTCTTCACAGTGCAGTCCCAGGCACCAGCTAGCGGTGTTATAGTCTCCATGTTCTCTGATGCCTTTGTGTGTGCAAATGGTCCAATTAACCAATCTGCCTGCCTCTGCTGTGTTGCTGACTGTTTTCTTATACTGGTAACCACTGCTATCCTAATACTATAAAAGCACAAGCTACCGCTGTTAGTGCAGATTCCCCTTCCAGCTGCCACACTAGAGGCAGGCTTATCTCTGTTGTGGCAATGAACTGTGTGTGGTTTGTCCTGTTTCAGCACATGTTCATTTAGCTCAGCTGGTAAAGGGAGCTTTTCCATGAAATAATTCATGTCTGAATCCTCTAGCAGTGCCACTTGAAGGCATGGGCCCAACTGTCCCTAGAAGTCCAGTTCTTCTCCCTTTATCGTCCCACTAATTCTGTCATTAAAACTGTGCATAGTTGGATTAGGGAGGGAGGGATGGGAAAAGGAATTGTAATTTACCTTACCTTACAAACTAAGTAGTGTCACTTTGTGGCCAGCACCTAAGCAAAACGCAGGAGCTGCACAGGGTGATTCTGATCCCTCAGGCAGGAGTGTACATTGCTCCAAGACAGCAGTGAACCATACATGATGCATAACACAAGCATTTGAAAGGGTAGCCTTCCTGGGGAGAGGTAAACCAGGGTTTGCCTCATTTCTGGTAGCTAAAAAATTGTGACACTCCTCATAGTAGTAAGTTGTTACCTAAGCTGGAAATAGACTGGACCCTAGTGCTAAGTAGCTTTGGTAACCTAAACTCTTCCCCACCCCCAGTCCTCACACCATCTATTTCCAGAGGAGAAATCCTTGGTCTCCTGTCTAAGTTGCTCATGCAGTGCCCATGTTATTGTGGGGCTGTACTGTTGCATGTGGGTGGTGGGTGATGTGATGCCTGGCTGAGCAGCCTGTAAACTGCTTTGGGGTCTGAAAGATTTTAAGCTGCTAGCAGTATCATATGGTTAATTTTATGTTCTCCCCTCAACGTGCATCCCCTGCAGGATTCCAGTTAGTGTCCGGGTGAGCAGATTCTTCTTGAGGTGAGAGCAGGCCCACTTCAGGGGGCTGAGACAAGCCAAGAAATGCCCCACTTAGGTAGCTGTGTACCTGAGTTGGGACAACAGGGTGCAACAGGTGCAGTAATGGAAAGGGGGTCTTCCCTTTCTCTCTCCACATAGTTTCATGGTGCTCTTTGGATGTGTATGTGGAGAGGGGTTGTCTAGTTTTGTTTTCCCACTGTGGAAGTAGGGGAGATTTTGAGGCCTAGCTTCTTTTAGCTCAGGGAAGGAGTTCAAGGGGAGTTAAACATGTGTTGAACTTTCTCTCCTCCCTGGGGAAGGAGTGAAGAGGGGAGAACTCTGTGCCTTAGACTGCAAAAGGGTGGCACAGGTTGGCTTTGGGGAGAGCCACATCCAGCCCTTCCCTGGGCTGGGTTGGCACTGCAGTGAAGGGAGGATCCTTCCCATTAACAGGGCAGATCTGTACCACCTCTTGGCTGAATCCAGAACTGACCCCAAGACTTAAGCTTGCTCCCACTCTCCATGTACTGAAGCCTGGCAAAAAGGTAGCGTAAACTGCCCATAGGGGTCCTTAGCCCACATGCCAATGTTGCTCTCAGGGCTTCTGTTTTGAGAGAACCTAAGAGCAATGCTGAAGCATGCACTCAGGCTGTCTGTTCTGCAAGGTGGAGGGCTTGGGTGCTCACAGTGGTGATGAATATACAGGTGGGGCTTTATCTTTTTTTCAATGGCAGGGAGGCAGAATAGACATGGCCTTAGACTGCCATGGAATAGGGTGTCTGAGAAGAATCCAGAAAGATCAGATCCTGCCTCTTGGACTGAAAAGAGTGGGGTTGTGGGATTCCTACCAAGCCACCAAACCTAAATGGAAAAACTTTGACTTAAATAACTGGAAACTGCTGACAAGACTTCTTACCTTTTAAGGGAAATTAGATTTTTTATGTGTTACACTGCCACTAAAGACATTTATTTTAAACAACATAGTAGCTTAATTTGCACCTCATGTGCAAAGTATAAATT